TAAGCATTGTGTATAAGTTTCATAACATTTGGTTGTAGTTGATTCAACTATAATCATCGACAAAGGAAGATAACTCCAATTTTAAAATGACTTGATATTTAGAAGAAAATAAAAATTTAGCAATTTTTCCATTTATAAAGGGGCATAACTCAAGAACAGTTAAAGTGACGCCACCAAAATTCAAACTTGGTCTGTGTTTTGTGGTAATAAGCATTGTGTATAAGTTAGAGAACGGAAACCAATGTTGGGACGTATGTACGTAATGCCCCCTCCGCTACGGCGGGGGCATAAAAATAAAGTGTAACAAATAACCCTAGCATCATATTGCTAGTAGCGCCAGTAGCATTGTTTGGTGAATTTGTGCTTTTATTTTTCAGTTTGGCTAATGGACAAAAAATGTTTGGTTCAAATCTAAATAAAATGCTTTTATCTCCCTATTACTTACAATGTACATAGAATGGATACTACTTTGACAATTCCTTGTACACGAGAGTTGTCTGTCAAATCTTTATTTCACAAAGAATGAATTGCATAACAATGAACTGAGCTCAAAGCAAAGCACTTTAATAATACACTTAGACAATGAGCTCAATCCAGTGATATACTTTGTACTACAGGTCCTTCATGAACATCCTACTGGTCAAAACCATATCTCACAAACATGCCATAATACATGGTTGGATCAGAAGTCCTGAAAAAGACATGAACTTTATCAACATATTTTAAGTATATACATGTACACTGGTTAAAACTTTCACAAATTTGTGGTAAAATTATTCAGTATCTAGCAACTATCAATCGCTTCATGCACAAATTGATATAGGTTGAGTACCCCTGTGTCAGAAATAAGAATATACCTCCACCTAATTTTAGTCAGAAATGTAAAATCTAAAATTTATAAAAAAACGAAAGGGAGCTCATGACAATAGATATAAACAATTCACCAAAGTTTCATGCAAATTAGTTAAAGCGGTTTTGAGTTAATGTCCGACATGTTGACGACGGACAGACAGACGGACAACGGTATACCATAGTACGTCCCGTAAACGGGCGTATAAAAATGACAGGGTGTCAGACCACACCAAAACCTTCTGAAGGAAACACTAAGCTGGCAAACAAATTTTTTTTTTCATTGACAACCCTGTATAACCTTGCAGCAGTATCGAGTCTACATGCATTACCTTGTATATTTCATGTACATTGAACTTAAAAATATGTGGTCATTGTCAAAGTTAGTTCTGTCCGTTATAATTTACACATTTACTGAAACATGCCAGAGAAGTGCAAGTACAAACTTTTGAATTTGATCTGCAAACTGGGAAAGCCATCCTTTAATATGAATAAAATTCCACAATTTATTAAATTGAAAGGGAGCTTGCATCAATAGATATATATATAAACAATTAACCAAACTTTCATGACAAATGACAACTGCTTAAAGCATTTTCGAGTTAATGTCCGAAAACATGGAAATCCCCCTTTTTGAATGAATAAAACCCCTTACACTGTAACTGGATAATGTAAATTCTAAAATTCCAAAACAATCTAAAGGGAGCTCACATTAATACATGTCAGTCTATAATCCCATATAACTCTGAAGCGGGAAACCTAAAATTTATAAAATAATAAATTCACAACAGTTTCATGCAAATTGGTGAAAGCGTTGAAGAGTTAGTGAACAAAGCATTTTTAGAGTTAATGGGCGTTAACATGAAAATCCCCCTTTTTTAATGAATAAAACCTCACATTTTGAAAATGTATATTATAAAATTCTTAAAAATCTAAAAGGGAGCTCACGTCAGTAGATATAATCAATTCACCAGAGTTTCATGCAAATTGGTAAAAAATATTACTGAGTTAGTGAATAACATGCTAGAAACAGACAGATCAGGGCAGACAGACGGACAAAGGCATACCATAATATTTCTCATGAACAGGCGTATGAAAACTGCAGGGTACCATTCCAGGCCAACACCCTCTGAAGGAAACACTATAAGGGAGCTTCCTTTCCATTTTTATGGGGGAAAAAGGGGGGGGGGGGCTAGGATGAAAAATTTTGTCCTGCATTTTTTTTTAGTTCGAGATGTAATCTGTCCTGCCTTTTTATTTTTCACTCTTTTTTGTACTGCCTTTTTTTCTATTAGTTTATCCAGTTTACTTTTCCAATGCTTTCAATTTAAGATTAGGGCATTTTTGTCATTGGAATTGAGTTTTGTAGTCGGAGATTACTCTAACCTCCAACGACTGTTTTGCGACATCAGCTAGGGCAGTGGGACTTCAGCTGGTCCCATATCAGATAGATGATATCTGCCCGTCCAAAGTGGATGTGCTGCTTCGTTGCTTCTGGAGCCGACTGGATCCATATAAATCAAGCCTCAATTTATTAATTTTTCTCTTCACTTAAGTAAGTTGATCAACCTGCCACCCGTTATCTTCTCATATTTGGACAGTTTTTACATTGACCCATCCAGTGGCGGATCCAGAAATTTTCATTAAAGGGGTCCACTGACTGCCTAAGAGGGGCCCGCTAAAGTCATGCTTCAGTGATTCCCTATATAATCAACCAAATTGTTCCCACAAAAATGGGGTCCCGGGCCCCATGTCCCCCCCCTAAATCCGCCTCTGCCATCAATACGGACATATTAGAGGGTATGAATGCCCTTTACCGTCAGGCGTCTAACGGTCATTTTCGGCTACCGTTAGCGTCAAATATGTTATCATTTTACCGTGATTTGTCAACATATCCTTATCGTGATTCGTCAGAGGTCTCAAATAATTATCGTTATCTTTATTTTGGGCCAAAAAATTAACGTGATTCGTCAAGATCTGTCGATTTTTTTATCGACGTGAAGAAAGTCTTCATTTTATCGTCATGCACCAAAAATTACCGTTAACGTCATTTGGCAAGATTTTTTACCGTTATTCGTCATTTTAACTTTCACTTTATAAGAATGTCACATGACCAACATTATGGGAACTGATTTATGCAAATGACCCTTATTCAATAGAAAAACATAATCTTTATAAATCGAGCCTCAATTAGTTCATTTTTCTCTTCATTTAAGTAAGTTTAATCGACCTGCCACCCGCTATTTTCTCATATTTGGACAGTTTTCACATTGACACATCAATACTGGCATTTTTACTTTAACTTTAAAAGATTGTGACATGACCAACAGAAAAAGTATTTACAACTATACATTAAGAGGTCAATTACTGTTGTGTTAATCTGATAATCCGGGGTTGAAGGCATGGGTAAATCATGATTATGACCCTTTGCCCGGCAGGCTTATATATTTGTCGCGGTAAGACGGCATTGTCAATATCAAACACATGTTTTTCTTATATTTTGTGTGACAGGATATATTTTTACATCTTTTCTAGTGGAAGATCATTTATATACAGTTCGTACCCTACTTTCCCACACGCGAGCTTCAAATGGTAGTCAATGAAGGCAAAAACTGTGTGTTTCTTTATTTTGGTGTCCTCTTACTTATAATTTTATTTCACTATATGGTTTAAAACACTATTTAATTCTCCTACTTTCTGTTTTAGCAAAAAATCCAAACACAGCTTTTAATACCTTAATTAGCGTATGATATGGCGATATTCACAAATTCAAAGTTTAATCTTATATATTCTAATTTAAATGCAGATTGAATGAAAGCCTTCACAATCTCGTGAACCACCTGGGTGGAAGGTCATAGTTTCGATCATTGAAAATTAGTATTTTCTTTTTCTCCTCTAAGCCAAAAGATTAAAGGATAACGGTATGTGTTAAGTTAAATGTCTTCCTGCGAACTGTTACATTGTGTTAAAGGTGTCAGACCACCAATTCAAAAATTTAAAAATAAGAGCATAGTTGGAACAGCGTCAACCCATTCGGAAAGAATATCTACGTCTTCTCTTTTGCTTTGAGTCCGTTGTCTGGCATAATCCTCCACTGAATTCAAACAGGACGTGTTTAAAAAAAATCGGTATTCCTAAGGAAACCATATGTGCTCTTTTTCTAGCCAACTTGGTTTTTTATTCATATTAGGCAGACTTTATACAGAATCGTCTAAGGAAGAATTAAAAGAAGCTTGTATTAAACTTTAACTTCCAGATCCCCTATATCAATGATTTTCTGAAAAGAAGTTTCATGGATATGTTGAATGCATTTATCTTTCAAACTTGAAAATAAAAGATAAAACAGATACAGCTATTTCTGCTTCATATCTTGAATTACCATTGTAAGTGCCCCCACCCACTACCTCCAGGTTAGACTATTGAAGATGTTCATTCGTGGTTTCTTTATTTTAAGACCATTTTTCTCTATATTTCGTTTTGCCAATTATTCTATTTTCCTTGTTTGTTTTTTTCTGAAACACCAACCAGACCTTATTTTATTATCTAAAGTTCAGCCACATCTTTTACTTACATTGTGATTACGGCTTTGTATGACAATTTTGGTATCTTTTGCCTCTTTTTTAAGAATCTACCTCTGATTCATACTACTATTGTATTCAGTTTCGATAGCTAATATACTACCCGGTTTAGATTGCTCACATAATCAATCTATGTAATTTAAATAAATTTCTAGGAGCATTAGGCATACCTAGTAACATAGTGTTGTTTGTAAGAACACATACTAGATTCCGCTAATGTGGAGAAGATCCAATCCTTCATACTTGATTAAGATTCAAAACAATGTTAATACAATACATATCCAGTGTCTTCGATTCGCCTACAGGAATCTGACAACGCTTATAATCTGATAATTATTACGACAACCAATGAATATTTTGCCAATGAATATCTAAAGGTTTGTATCATTACGACAAAAAACAGAGGCTTCCAAAAACGTGTTCAAAACCCGAATGTTCAGTGGAGGGTAGTTTAGACTTTAACAGATCATACACAGACCTCTATTATTCCAAGTGTTTCGTGTTTAAAGAGATCAAATGACATCAAAATTAACAACCATAGGTCACCGTAGGGCCTTCAACAATGAGCAAACAAACATTTGATAGTTTATTGACTGATACTTTATTTGTAAAATAAACATATAAACAACTAGAACATGTAGAACGTGCACTTCAAGTCATTATCCTACTGAAATAGAAAAAACAAACAACAGAAAGCATCATTTGTGTAAAATAAAAAGTCCCATTCCATTAGTAACAACCATGTTATTTATTTTAAGATGTGAAGACGTATTACGTTCATTGCATAAACATTTTCACTTCCTCAATTAATTCCTTACAATAAAAGATGGTATCTACGTCTTTGACACTGCTGTAAACATCTTCATTATCTGTTCGAGTCCCCATACACAGTTTTAACAGTTTAAGTATTCGAAGGCGAATAAGCAGGATTGTCAAATATGGAATCAAAATATGGAGAATTGGTTTGATGCCTTCGCTGATTCAAGTAATTTCCATCACTGGATGTCTTCCGCTTAGAAACTGGATCATTGTTATCTCGTTGTTGTTTTGTTTGATTGTCCTTGCATGAAAAAAAGACAGACATGTTGTTAAGTTAAAAATATTATATTATATTCTGAATTTGCTTTTACCCGGTAGAGACATCACCGAATGAGACTCATAAATAAATTTGTATATACCATGTGTAACACGATGGTTGTCACTAGTGGACCAGATTTTCATACCTATCTGGAACACTCGAGATCTCCACTAGTTTATGGTGGGGTTCGTGTTCAGTAATTAGTTTTATATGTTTTATTTTGTGAATTGTTTTTTCTTTTGTCGTATTGCGTTTTTTGTCATGGCGTTGTCAATTTCTCTCGAATTGTGAGCTTTGAATGTCCATTTGGTATCTCTACTAACTCTTTTTTTTTGTTAAAACTTCATATAATGCTAATTCTATTTATATTCGTTCTTTATAGTATTTTTGCTATAAGAGAGAGAGAGAGAGAGATAGGTCAATGTATTTGTTTTTAAACTAAATTAATAAAGAGAAGTCGAATTTAGCATAGATTTGTGCCATTTGTGATCATTGTCATTGTCTATTCTCAAGTTCTTGTATAAAACCTAATTTTGCTACCAATCAATGTCCATACCCCCTGAGTGGCAACAACAAAATATCGTTTATATAGAAGTTAACTTTCGTATCTTATACAAAAGAACACAGAAATTAATTCATTACCGGATTTTCCGGTCGTAAATCAAATAAATTAATGTTTGTAGAACGTATAATCATTCTAAGGCTTGTTGATAAGATTGGTTTGTTTGTGTGTAGATTCAAGAAAAATATAAAATACAACTCAGCTTACAAAGGTACTGGATTGTGTGAATGATTTAGAATCCATTTGACTTGCTCTTCTCCGTCTTTGATAATGCTGGTATCCTTGCTTGACCTATGATAAATTACTCAAAAATTCATATTGGGGCTAGAGTATATAAAGCAACATTTTCAATTCAATATAACATTTCCTTGAATATATTGCCTTAAAGGAGGGACGAAAGATACCAGAAGGACAGTCAAACTCATAGATCGAAAGCAAATTCAGATAGAATAATATCAAAATCATTTACATATAGTATGATATGTAAATTAGATAGATCAAGAAAAGAGGCGTGAGATATCAAAGAGACATTTAAATTCATAAGTCGAAAATAAACTGACAACGTCATTGCAAAAAAAAGAAATAGACCAAAAGACAAGCAACAGTATACAAAACACAACATAGAAAGCAAAAGACTGAGCAACACGAACCCCAATAAAAACCGGGGGTGATCTCAGGTACTCAGGAAGGGTAACAGATCATTAGCTCAGTAGTCATATATAATGTGATTCAAAACAGAGTTTTCTTAAATTCACCATTAATAATTTAAGAAATTATTAAGAAACTGAGTTTCCAAATCCATCAGGTGAATTTGAAGTTTGATAGATGAATTTGACTTTTACTTCTGAGTCCTTTCTGTCATATAGCTCCTTTCGTTTCTGCGTATTTATACAGCCATGGTTTTCAAATGTTTAGGTTTCAATCTCCGGCGCAGTGTCCATATCCGTTTCGTTCAATAATACGTAACACTACACTCAATAGGACCTCAGGTCATATTAAGTGTAGTATTGCAGAACATGTACGGAACGGATATGATCTCTGCGCCGGAGATTGTTTAGGTTTGAGCGTTCCTCATAAAGGTTAATCCAGGAAAACGCTTCGGACACAAGAAATTCATAAAGTGTTATTTTCTCTCATTGAAAGGAAAGGGATCATTAAATGAAAGTTTCGAATAGTTTTCACTTATATGTCAGCCATTTATACACTGTAGCATGCAATTAATTGAACATACATTGTCATATCGGTCAATAAAACTTTGCATAATGGCTTCTTTAAATTTTTGAAGAAAAAGGAAAACTATGTAACACTTTTGCCAATTTAAAAACAAATTACTGGTGATTGGGAAAAATCACATAATTAATGGCAACGTCTCCACACCAATGTTACTGCCTAACATTTCTTAGGGTTTGAGATTTTTTTTTAAAATGAGCATGATTATTTTTGTCTAAAAACAAACAATGTTTTTGTCTTTTTTACTTAAAAAAGTTTTCAGTGATATTTGAGTTATTGTTCAGTTCAGCGAATAGACAGATTACGATGAGAACCTTTTTAGGCATAAGTTTTAAAATAGAAATGTTAATATTAAATATAAAGTTTTCAATTAGTTTTATTATATGTTATAAGTAATACAAAAAATAAAAACAGGCAGTGAAAAGTAAGATAACAACAATACCGAACTCCAAGGAAAATTCAAAACGGAAAGTCCCTTATCAAATGGCAAAATCAAAAGCTCAATCATATCAAACGAATGGAAAGCAACTATCATATTCCTGACTCGGTACAGGTTTTTCCTTATGTCGAAAATAGTTGATTAAACCTGGTTTTATACATGTAGCTAGCTAATCCTCTCACTTGTATGACAGTCGCATAAAATTCCATTACATTAACAACAATCTTTGAGCAAAACAAACAGACATAATAGGTAAAAATGTCCAAAATTGGGGTACAGCACTCAACATTGTGTTATAATCTTAATCACTATAAACCAAACATTGTGAATAATCCATTACAGCATATGGGGAAATAGTTATTTGTCACCATAGAAATTTGCAATTCATTTGACCAGCTTTGTAATTATTCGTTACAAACTGTGATAAAGAACATACACATACCTGTTTATTCAAAAAGCAATGGAACAAACACACGAAGAAACCCTGAAAAAAAGTTCAATATAACTAATGCTTAATTTTATATTAATAAAATCACACCAAGGTACCAAGGTTATAATCTAGTACGCCAGACACGTGTGGTTTCTACATATCAATCATCAGTAGAGCTCAAACAAAATAGTTGGAAGGCAAAATCAATTATGAAGCTGAAGAGCATTAATATCAACCATTACAAAAAATGTGCCAAATCGTGCCAAGGCCTCAACACTTGTGATAGAAAAGACCTCCATGTTTTGAACTATTTTGAAGTTTTATTTATGTTTAATTTACAGAAACTAACCGTATCAATGATCCTTTATGTAAGCAGAAGTGTATCGACTACTGAGTTGGTAATACTATCTCGGGTCAAACAAACAACAGTGATATCGACCCAGTAGTTATATAAACTCAACAAAAATATTACTATAATAAGCGGGAGGTTTGGCATGCCACAAAACCACGTTCAACCCACCATTTTTTTTCTTAAAATGTCCTGTACAAAGTCAGGAAAATGGCCATTGTTATATAACAGTTCATTTCTGTGTGTATTACATTTTAATGTTGTGTTTTTGTTGTGTCGTTGAGCTCCTCTTATATTTGATGCGTTTCCCTCAGTTTTAGTTTGTAACCCGGATTTGTTTTTATTTCTATCGATTTATGAGTTTCGAACAGCGGTATACTACTGTTGCCTTTATTTACCTCATGCATTTGATAAACTAGAACCAAGTGAACTTGAAAAAAAAAATTAAGGATATTATCAAAATCTGCTTTATTTTTTTCTTGATATTGACACAAAGGACGACTTCAAAGTAGAATCTATCACAAACGGAATTATTTCAGCTTTCCAATTGTAAATCAACATTCCATCTCTTAGCAGTAACACACACTATCCCCATCGAATGGCGTTTACATATCTCAAATATAACACCACGATCATGCCTATTCACACTTAACGGACTTATCATCAAACGGGTAATGGTCCTGACACAAAAACAGCCCCATCGGAATCGGCACTGCATAAGATTATGTTCACGGTCACGAATTGATCGATATATACATTGCAACTGTTTTTAAACTCACTGGCGACAAGTTTTCCCCGTCTCAGACCTTTAAGTGCCAGATAAGTTGTCTGATCTACAAATTTGACGAGTCTGTCATGTTCCTTATTGTAATATTCTAACTGAGAGTGGATTGACATGGCTGGTGATGAATGTATAGCAGGAGACGTTTACCTTTTCGACGCTGTCATATCATACTCCTTTTAGAGTTTTTGCGATTCCCTCATGTTTAGTTTTATACCGTGATTTGTAATGTCAAAATGGATTCATGAGATTTGAAAATCTATCGGTAAATTACTGTTGACTCTAATTTATAATGAAATACGCCAGACGAGCACTTTCCTCACATAAGTTAAATTATTGGCGGTTGTATCTAAACAGTTTGAAAACAAAAATATATTGAACCTCATAATGTGTGTGCAATAAAATTTAACATGCGGAGATTCAAATGTCACTATCACTACTGAAACGCAGAAAGATAAAATATTCTGCTTTAACGTATAATCTAACCTAATATTATCTATTATAAATGTCAACGAGGTTTGTTTTGAAAAAAAAAACTATGGTTGTTTTTATGATAGCATCATTATAAGCATTGATTTCCGTGAATATATCGATGGTAATAATAATACATTCATTTTCTGTAGGTAAATTTAATGGGTGTTCTAAAGATTAACCCAATGACAATGTACATACCTGTAATGAGTTAAGTATAGCAAAAAGGTATTGAAAAACAACTAAGTCTTCGTTTACAGAAAACACACCGAGGACCCATGTTACACCAAACAGTGGTAAGATAACACAGATACTTTTTATTCCTGCCCTACGAAAAAGTAAAAATATATAACAATGTTAATTCATACTTTTGCTACATCAAATATTAATTAAAGATACCAGCCTTAAAATTTGTTACGCCAGACGCGCGTTTCGTGATCATAAGACTCGTCAGTGGAGCTCAAATCTAAATACTTGGGAGGACAAATAAAAAACGAAGTTGGAGAGCAAAGAAAAGTAAATAACGAAAATTTTGACCCAAAAACAGCTAAAACAATCTTTTCCTGGTGGTAGAAACACATTTGTGTTTCGATTGATTCAAATTTATCAACAAAAAATAATAGAAAATGAACATATACTGTAAATTCAGAAATTATTGCATGCATTTATTATTGCGATTTTGTCATTTTAGACTAAAATGCGATTTAAATTTTTGCGATATTGAGAAAAATCCTGTTAAATTCATATAAAAAAATTCAAAATGCGAGTTTAAATTATTGCGATTATAACCCTGTCGCATTTTTCACAATGATAAAAACATCGCAATAATTTCTGAATTAACAGTAATTGATATTTCATGTCAACAAAAAATTGATGACTAATGTAATGTCATTGTTGTTCCAAATAAATTTTCGGTCCGGGTTCACATTTATCGTTCATTGATTTTCGTTGCCTCCCTAGTGTGAACAATGTATAACTTGAAAAAACAATTCATACACAGTCTAAATTCATTTCTTTATATTTTATGCATAAAAAAGCAAATTGGGGGATAAAATTACATTTTTAAAAACTTTGGCCATGAATTTTTAGGTAGTGTAGTGATAAGGTCCAGTTTTAAAAGGTCAAAAGTTAGTATTTCTGAAGCTGTCAACCTGAATTAAAGACCCCCTTAACATAAAATTGTCCATACTTTGAATTAAAAGCGATAGACTTTTTTATGATTTTGATATAATTTGTCCCAAAAGTAGTACACTACACTGTAAAAATATATTTGGATAGAGCAGGTGCTATGTTTTTAATTTGCGTTTTTCGTTTAAAAGAAATGACCTACGAAATAATTGTGTTCTCTGGCCATTTGACATTCAATAGGCCAAAAATATACATCTGGAACTTTACCTGACTAATCCAGACATATTGAGGACATTGTTTGGTTACGTATCTTTAATAAAAAGTCTTGACCATTTCCCTATACAGACTATATTATAACATTTACACATTAGAAATTTTACTGTATATATTTTTTGTCTATTATACATGTGATGTTTAAATCGAAAATATCATTGTGGTACTAGGTTAAATTATTTTCCAATCTGATATCTGCATTACAAGCTTTATACATGATTAACCTATGTAGTATTGGTTATAACAGGTTATGTAAACTTTGGTAACTTCTACGTCATTTAATCTACGGTAGAGAGGTGTCTTATTGGTAATCATGCCACATATTCCTATCGTTATATGGCTGTATTTTAAGGTAGCGTTTGCAAAATCATCATTATTGCATAAATTGCAAAAAAAAATTGTAACATTAAGAACTCATCATTTAAGCAATTCACTCAAACTGCTGACCATAAAAAAAAGATATTTATAAAAATTTTTCAAACAAAAACATCAAAATAAACGTGAAATGCTTTTGCAATTCACCTTATCGCTATTCCCGGCTGACCCAAGAATCCGTCCCGCTTGAACTATTGACGTCATACAACAATCACTTTTCCATTGTGGCGTCAGATATCTTGTATTATGACGTCAAAATTTTACGGGAACCTGTGTGATGTCCAGTAATGGCGGACAAATAGCGATAAGGTGTATTCGCCTCTTTAGAATCTAAAGGACTATGGGTAATCTTTGTTCGTACACCAACATAAAAATACCGATACGTCATTGGTTAAATTTCCATTGTTTAGTACGTGTTTAACCAATCACAGTGTTTTGGTGTACGCTTTTAAAAATATTACCCAGAATGCATTAGATTCTGAAACGGCGAATTATCAAGTAATTGAAAATAAGATAAAAAAGCAAGACTTACTTCGATTTTTGTTTCAATGTTTTTGCCGGAAGCCCTCTAACTGTCAACATTCTATGAAGCATGATGACTAGTATAATAAAGTTAGCCTACATAATAGAACATGCAATCATTTTAATTCTATATATAAATGTATAGGCGATACAGTAATTTGTAATAAAAAGGAAAAGCAACAAAAATTATGATGTCGGTAAATGAAATGAATACTTTGTAACTAGTGTACGTCCGAACACTTTACTTTATTTACCCTCACCAGGAACACTCAAATATAACTTAATAATAAAAGGCAGAGACCAAATAGGACATAAAAAGAAATAGTCAAATTCATCTAAGGTCAGCCTTGCCCGATGGAGTTAGGACCCTACTTTCATTAATTTCGACATTTTACAAATGTATGTTAAAATCATGTCAGTACTGATGCACTGGCAACTTAGCTGGTGATACCCCGAGAACTTGCTGTCTACAAGTAACGGTATCGAACCACTCCTAGTAAAGAAAAACAGTAATGATGCACTGGCAACTTAGCTGGTGATACCCTGAGAACTTGCTGTCTACAAGTAACGGTATCGAACCACTCCTAGTAAAGGAAAACAGTACTGATGCACTGGCAACTTAGCTGGTGATACCCCGAGAACTTGCTGTTTACAAGTAACGGTATTGAACCACTCCTAGTAAAGGAAAACAGTACTGATGCACTGGCAACTTAGCTGGTGATACCCCGAGAACTTGCTGTCTACAAGTAACGGTATCGAACCACTCATAGTAAAGGAAAACAGTACTGATGCACTGGCAACCTAGCTGGTGATACCCCGAGAACTTGCTGTCTACAAGTAACGGTATTGAACCACTCATAGTAAAGGAAAACAGTACTGATGCACTGGCAACTTAGCTGGTGATACCCCGAGAACTTGCTGTCTACAAGTAACGGTATCGAACCACTCATAGTAAAGGAAAACAGTACTGATGCACTGGCAACTAAGCTGGTGATACCCCGAGTACTTGCTGTCTACAAGTAACGGTATCGAACCACTCATAGTAAAGGAAAACAGTACTGATGCACTGGCAACTTAGCTGGTGATACCCCGAGAACTTGCTGTCTACAAGTAACGGTATCGAACCACTCATAGTAAAGGAAAACAGTACTGATGCACTGGCAACTTAGCTGGTGATACCCCGAGAACTTGCTGTCTACAAGTAACGGTATTGAACCACTCATAGTAAAGGAAAACAGTACTGATGCACTGGCAACTTAGCTGGTGATACCCCGAGAACTTGCTGTCTACAAGTAACGGTATCGAACCACTCATAGTAAAGGAAAACAGTACTGATGCACTGGCAACTTAGCTGGTGATACCCCGAGTACTTGCTGTCTACAAGTAACGGTATCGAACCACTCATAGTAAAGGAAAACAGTACTGATGCACTGGCAACTTAGCTGGTGATACCCCGAGAACTTGCAGTCTACAAGTAACGGTATCGAACCACTCATAGTAAAGGAAAACAGTACTGATGCACTGGCAACTTAGCTGGTGATACCCCGAGAACTTGCTGTCTACAAGTAACGGTATCGATCCACTCATAGTAAAGGAAAACAGTACTGATGCACTAGCAACTTAGCTGGTGATACCCCGAGAACTTGCAGTCTACAAGTAACGGTATCGAACCACTCATAGTAAAGGACAACAACACTTAATAGATTTGGTGCGCCCGTGCCATGAGCTATATTACTAAAAAAGGGTATGCAGAAAATTGTGCAAAGGAGACGTATCACATATGTTGTATTTGTTTAATAAAGCGTTGTAATAAGAAGCTTATAAGCAAATCAGATGGATATTAAATTGCAGGATAAAGGTGCACTTTTCATAGCTAAATACTCATCACAGATACCAGGCTAATAATTTTGTACGTTAGTCGTTTAGTACTTTTCGTCTCCAAAGGACTCTTTAGTTGCTCTCAAATTAAAACATTTGAAAAGCTAAATCAAATATGAAGTTGTATGTGTTTAAAAACTAAAAACAATTCTTAAAGGTTTGCCAAATACGACTAAGGCAATTCATACCTTGGGTAGAAAATCATTAGTTTTTAGAATAATTCAACATCTTATATACAGTAAACTTACAGAAAATGAAAATATCAATGATATGGCAGGTCCACACACAAAATAGAAAACAACAAAAAAATCAGACGTCTTGTAATGGTGAAATATTTTTTTTTTACGGCAACAGTAGTTTGCAGTAAAAAAACGTTAAAATATTTATAAGTATTGTTGTCTTATCTGGTTTTCAACCATTTTCAATCATTTTGTCCAATGATATGAAACTGGTTATAGTTTTCAACGCGAAATGAGATACCGCGGCGAGATTGAACAGAGAAAACTTTTAGATCCACCAGCTCCACACTATAAAAATAAATGCATTAAAAAAAAACAACAAAAAACAGAACAAGAAAGATTTGCAATATTGATTAAATTTTGAAAGTCGTTCAATTTTACACTGCACAATTAGATTTGCTTGTACGCTAAAACTTTAAAGATAAGCTGCCTGACAAGGCCAGTTGTTTAGAAGAATACTGTGTTTATTTGTCATCACATTATAAATAATTTAGATATTTGTAAAAGAAAATACCATCTCTTTATGTGTTTTATACACATATAGCTTTGTCGACCAGTACATCAGTATTTTGATAATAGCATGAAAATACTTATATTGTTTTATTGAAATTGCTGTCATAACATTTTTTAATTTATTTAAAATATATGGTTAGATCTGATGCCTTGTCCGGCTTTGACTACACGTTTGGTTCTATTTTTTTATTTTTTTTTGTCAGCTCTTCAACGTTTCATTAGGTTTTTGTTTGTTTTTCAAATATTTTGTACAAGATCATTACTGAAGAGACAATAACTGTGGAAATACTTGTCGGATGAAGTAAGTGTTGAACCGTTGCTGTTACAAAAGGTCAGAAATTGATTATATGTCATCCTATTTCAGAATCGTGAATAATCATTGTCGTATTGCAAAGAAACTCGTCTTTAGATGTAAGTTGTACGTTGACCTCCCTTCATCGGTTTGTTAATTGTATTTGAATTGTTTGGTTGTTATCAACTTGACCTATATTCCAGGTTTCCTTGAATTATTCAGTATTCAAAATCAACGTTTTTTTCTTCTTTTTTTAATATCCGATGCTTGGAATCGAAAACACTAACAGACACTAGGCTCCGTGTTGAAGGCCGTACTTTGACCTATAACTGTTAACTTTTTATACATTGTGACGTGGATGGAGAGTTGTCTCATTGGCACTCATACCACATCTTCTTATTTACATATTATAAAATGATAGCCATACATTGATATTTAGAATGTCAAATCATAACAAATGTAAAGGACCTTTGAGGAATGTTTCAGAGATTCTATTGTAATTGAGATGACTGTTGTGGACAACATTAGGGGTTTTCTGTTTCTTTTACTATAATAATTTACAATTTCATGGAACTTACCACAACTACAGACAGAGCAGGTCCTACAAACGCCCAGATGAGATTCGATTCCAGGGATAGCCAACAACTAAAAACAGTCATATTTAATATATGAAACAGTTTATTAATCATTACAGTTTACATTTGTTGTGCTTCAACAATATTTTATTCTGTTAAAGCACGTAATACTATTATCGACATATCTAACCCTTGTTATATTTTTCTTTTATAAGTGACTGATGTCCTCGTCACTCAAATTTCCATATAAATAAGAAAATAAAGATACTTAGCCATCCAGAACGTCGGACTACATCCTCGTGTTGTGTCGTGTATGTTGCGTATTCTTTAGTGTTCCGCGTGCTGTTTTTGCATTTTTGTTTGTCTTTTTCGATTTGCAATTGTGTTGTCTGTTTTCTTGGACTTGTATTTTACTGTCCCTAGGACTTTCTCCTCTACAGTTGAATAAACTAGAACGCGTAGTAAATGTATAAAAAGAAATTTGCTGTAAAAATGTGAACCATGAATTCATAATTAGGTATTGTAAGCATTGAAAGAAACTACTAATCAGCTGTTTTCCATCATTCTTTTGCTACCGGCCTAAGATTCGATTGGAATGTAAAGATAAATTTATTTTAACAAAAAAAGAATCAGACGTAACAACAATGTTTTTCGTAATCATTAAAGAATATATGAAATTACATTTTTTATCATTTTTTGAAATCATTTTGAATTAAGGAATATGTCTCCCTCATGAAAAGCTCAAATTCCTTGCATGTCCGGATTTGTCTATCCTTCAGGCTTTTATTGGTTTAATCCGCTCTGCAACATTTGCATAAGATTTTGGATATTCAAATAATTTGGCCTCGAGCATCACTGAAGAGACATTTTAGATTATCGAAAAGCGCATCTGGTGCAATAAATTCGGTACCGTTTATGTTATTATAGCAAAGGACAATGCAGTTTTTGATGTCCGAACACAGCTTGCAGCTTATTTCCGAAAATGCACTTCGAATTGATGTGCCAGTTTAAAAGGTATTACATTTGTATATTTTGGTGTTTCTTGTGATTGTGTTACGTTTTTTTTTTATTGACTCTGATTTGAATATGCTTTACGTTATGGCTATTTATTCGTAGGCGGATTACATTATCTTCACTCTTCATGAAATAGTAGAACAAGAATGAAGATTAGAGATCACTAGGACAATATCCTATCATTATATGCTCTATCCTTTAGTTAAAAACTAATATTCTAGATTGCTTAATAAAGAATATATTTAAAATATATAACAACATCATAATCTAATGTTAATCAATCACACAATTTATGTTTGCTGGAATTCTTCAACATTACAAACATATTTAGGAAAATTCATTTCATTGTTGTAAATTGCTATTTGCCTAGGCTTCTTTTATTTGAAGTTAGCTTTTTGACTCTTACTAATTTCACATCTGGACTCGTACTTACTACTGGGCATTACCATATCCTTCAAACTTGGTTACCCCTGCAGAAATGCTTACGATCACAGCGGGAAGGACTGAAATTGACGATTTTTATAAATTATACAAGAGCTAACAAGTTAAAATATCTAAATAGAATAAGGGTTGTTGATATAATTATGTAGTATATCATTTAACAGCTGTAATACTAGCGCATGTCATGTTTCGTTATCATTTAGAAATTAAATTCAAATAAAAAGCGACATTTAGACGGCAAAACAACAACGTTTATCTTTATATTGCAAATAACATTTTATATGTTTTCAATTTTTTGGTCATAGCAATAAAAGTTGGTTCGTATTTATCAAGAAAACTAAATTTGACGTAATTCTGTTAATTGTTCTAGGCCTTGAACAAAATTCTTTTTTCAAATCGTCAATGTTTGTTAAAATACATTTTCAAGTTAAATAGATCTTTGTTACAACATTGAAAGACGACTATAAAAGCGTTTTAATCAAAGAAAAGATCTATTCTTTTGTACAACTAAAATTACAAATGCTTACTCCAGCATAAAGGAAGCAACCACTGAATTATCGACTTTGAACGGAAAATAATAACAACCATTATTGCTACTTGTATTCCTTCCCCTAACATCAATGCAAAATCTACCAAAAATATGTAATGTAGTCCAACCGCTATACCAGTACAAACAACCTACAAAGTGGAAATATAATAGTTTAGTTTTCTGTTATTTTCACCTTTTCGTTTATAACTTAAATATTTCTAAACTTTCTGCCACGTTTTACAATGGTAATTACGATCTGGAAGTGGTCTTTATTTCAGTATTTTTAATTATTTCTGCTATTTTGTCAACTCTTTCAACGGACGTCTCGTTAATCGATCAATCGATCTTTTCTTCATATTTTGTCCCAGTGACCTGTAATCTTTATATTTTAGCATATGATTATATTCTCCATTCTTTTTGTTGCCCATTTTGCTCTATTATGTAAACCCTATTCAGACCCTCACAAATTTTGATCTACGAATAATAGAATATTCCATTATCTATAAACAATTCTAAATATTGTATACATATTTGTCTTCCTTATTTCGGTGTATGTCTTCGAGGATACCATCCTAGCATTAGCCAGTACTATATACCAGAGTTATTTTAATTATGCTGGAGGAATAAAAATTTCAATTTACGAACTAAATGTTTTTGTGACAAACTGCTGTTCACTTTTTCTCAGGCAAAAAATAAAACGTTAAACAGTTGCATTTTTTTCTTCCCATTTTTTTTTATTTTGAGATATAAACAAACATATGTCTCGATCGTCCTATAAAGTTCTTTTTCATTTTTAGCTCACCTGGCCCGAAGGGCAGTGAGATGTTCTCTTCACTAAGCGTCCATCGTGTCGTCCGTCGACCGTTGTTAGTCTTCCGTCGTCCTTCGTCGTCCGTTAACTTTTAAAAAAATCTTTTCCTATGAAACTACTGAACCAAATTTAACCAAACTTAGCCACAATCATCATTGGGGTATCTTGTTTAACAAACGTGTCCGATGACCCCACTTGCCAACCAAGATGTCCGACATGGCTAAAAATAGAACATAGGGGTAAAATGCAAGTTTTGTCTATTATTGTGAAAACCGTTATAAATAGACAAAATCTGACGGCAGCAAAAACGTTCAGAATGTTTAGCTCTACCAATTGTCTATATATGTCAAAACTGTCAAACGAGTTCCTATACGAGTTATTGCCCTTAAATGACAAATTTTACCATTTTTTTTCATTTTTGTCTATTATCTTAAAAACTATAATAGATAGAGAAAAATTTTAATTGCTCACATGATCAGCCAGACAAGATCTATAAATAAGTCACATGGTCGAAATCGTCAGTCGACTCCTTACTAGAGTTATTGCTCTTTGATGACGATTTTTTTCCAATTTTATGTGAATTTGCCTTATATCTTAAAAGTTATAATAGATAGACAGAAACTTAAATTAGCAAAAATGATCAACAAGACAAGATCTACAATTAAGACAATATCGAGGAATTTGTCTGACATCTCCTTATTGGAGTTATTGCCCTTTAATGACGATTTTTACCATTTTGTTCGCGTTTTGCCTTATATGATAAAAATTAAAATAGATAAATAGACACTTTTATAAATCACAAAAATGATAAGCAAGGCAACATCTACTAACAAGTCAACTTTTGCCGATATAGTTAGTAGACTGTCACTCTTTGTAGGGGTGATTGCCCTTAAATGAGGATTTTTTTACCCTCTTTTGTGTTTTGAGCAAAAACTAAAGAAAACAGAGAGAAACTAAACAGAATAAATGATCAGCAATACAAGATCGACTAAAACATATTTTTGTCATGAATTCTATTCTCGTCTACAATGTTTGAGAGTGTCCTTTGTTGAATATGCACATAGAACAAGGTGAGCGACACAGGTACTTTAGAGCCTCTAGTTATCAATATATAGGCGATTTGTTGTTTTAATTCTGTTAAATATTACATGTACGTGGCTTTTCCAACTTTTGAGCTTAACCATCGCTGGAAAAAATATTCAAAAGAAAGCGTCATATGGTCTGAAATCATTTCTATCATTTGATCATATTACCAATATGATGATATTAAATATGGAACTCAATCGCTGTAATCGTTTTTAATCGCAGTGCGTATGAAAATATTACAATTGAGAATGCAACAGGGGAATGTGTTAAAGAGATTACAACCCGACCAGAGAGCAGGAAACAGCACAAGGCAACCAATGGGTCTTCAACGCAGCGAAAATATCCCGAAAATAATATAGTTTACAGAGCTCATTCATAATATAAAGTCTTGTTATATACAGACAATAATTGAAATGAAAACACAAGTCCCATGCATTGATCAGGATACTTGCAACAAATCATATGCTATGGCAAGTTTGTTCAAATACATGCATGTTTGATTTCCTACTGTTATAATCATTGTAAAATATGATATCTTTAAACTCATGAAAGATACCCTGCAAGCTCAGAGTATATATTAACTTTGATCATTGGAGGCACAATAGGTTACTCTGTAAGTGATTGACATTATGAATAGACACCTGTTTGTTGTTTGAAACTGTATGCTGACTCTAGATGTCTTTACGTTATTTGTGTTGTTTGATTGATTGTCGAATACTACACTAGTGAACCAATTTGTATTTGTAACGCTCGATTTGGTCTGAAAAGATTTTAATCGACTGAAAAATAAATCATTAAATCATTTCCAGTCTTTTCGTAAATTTTGATACTGAACCACTGCGGTAAATTCAGCACTGTTCAGACTAATCGTTTGCAGTCAGTTACGATCTGTTCATACCAGGCATTGGGCGAATTCCATTGCAATGTAATGCATTACATTACAATTGCTTGGACAAAACCAGCATTAAATTACAATTACATGTATTTTGGAATGTAATGCATTACATTACAATTACTTTACCAAAGTAATGTATTATATTACACATTACATTTTATAAATTTTATTATCAAAATAAACATATATACAACATTTTATACTGAAATCTTGGTAACTGTTGAATAGGTATTTTAAAATTTTCATTGCCCTATTAGACCAAATGTCAACAGTCAAACAAATGTGATCAGCTCCCTGAAGGTTATCATACAATTGTTTACGTACATCCTTGGCCTTATTCTGTATCAATTTAGATGAGAGATGTTTCCGGCTTGAAATCTGAAATTTTGGGTTAAGATTTTCTATAAAGTTCCTAAAGTTTTGTCTTTCAACTCTTGAAAATGAGAGTGAATCACTTCTAGCAATATACTGGAAAAGTGAATCTGCATAGCTTTGATTTGCTTTGAGTCATTCAATTGATATTTCTAAATACCAGATGGTTTTACAAAATTGCAAAGGTTGATTGATGTTCTGGGTCAGGCTTTTAATATTTCTAAGTATACATCTCTGTGTTTTCTCAAAAAAGAAATAACAGAAATGTTGTAAGGAATATATTGTTAATTTAATCATAAATTCTCTTGTCAAAAGAAAAGAATTGATTGCTTAACAAAGTAATTATCTAATTTTATCAATCATTCAACTTATTTCTTTCATTTTTAAATAAAATGACTGCAAATTAAAACAAAGTTACTTTAGTATGTTTATAAAATAGATCTGTTTTAATTATTAGTATTAAAGTTAGATGAAAAATTCATGAGTATTAAAGTTAGATGAAGAAAATCATTAGTATTACAACAGTTTAACTAGACATTGATTTGTTAAAACAGTAGGTACTTATTATCCCTGAGATTTGTAGCAATATATTGCACGATCAGACAAGAAGTAATGCTATGTAATGCCATGTTATGCCTAAATTACATGCATTTTTGCCAATGTAATCATTACATTACCATTACCTGTAATGCCAAAGTTTGGGCATTACACATTAAAATAAATTTATAAACTGAGAATGGAAATGGGGAATGTGTCAAAGAGACAACAACCCGACCATAGATCAGAAAACAGCACAAAGCCACCAATGGGTCTTCAACACAGCGAGAAAATCCCGCACCTGGACATTACTTCGGGAATGTAATGCATTACAGGGCATTACAATTAAAAATTAGCATTACCCCCTGCCTGGTTCTGACTAGGTTCAGATTGTTCAGTAGTTGTTATTTACCTGTACATATCAGCATCACACTGAATTGTCTGAAAAGCTACTGAACAGTACTGAATTGACGGCATTAAAATTGTCTGAACAGTCCTGACTTTACCGCAGTAAATAAGTCTGGAAATTGACCGAAAAACTGATAATGTCTAAATAATTAATTTTTTCAGACTTTTCAGATGATGTTAAGTCCAATATGACCGTTTAAGATTAATATTAATTTACAAGGGCTAATAATTTATATTTCTCCTTATTCATATATAACTATTAAATATACATATTGCACTTTTTATCATTACCTTATTCCCTGTTCTTGTAACTCCAGCTAAGAACAGGCCATACGACAAAATCAAAGCCACACATAAGTTCATTAGAATTTTTGATCTATCACTTCGTACATGTCTAGAAGTATAACAAATCTGCTTTGTACAACAAAGTCATCTACTTTTAACATGTTTATGTCACATCATATTATTGCATATTATATGTGCAATACTACAGTAAGACCGAGCAAAACATTAAAAAGTAATATAACAAAAATACCGAACTCCAAGGAAAATTCAAAACGGAAAGTCATTTATCAAATGGCAAAATCAAAAGCTCAAACACATCAAACAAATGGAAAACAACTGTCATATTCCTGACTCGGTACAGGCATTTTCTTATGCAGAAAATGGTGGATTAAACCTGGTTGTATAGCTAAAGTTTACATTATAATTTAAACCTTAAATTGGATATAAAAGAACGGCACCAAGATTTTTACAGTCATATTATTCTACCCTTCCATATATGTGAGATTAAACATAGTTAAATCGACAAAGTTTGTCAAATCTTTTCAGGCTTCATAACAATGCTTCAGGGGCCTATAATGCGGTGGCTGTCGCTTGTTGCTGTATATCCTAATTGTTTTTCATGTATGTTAGTTTTCTCGTTTGAAATATTATACACTTGTCATTTCGGGGCCTTTCATATCTTGCGGTATAAGTTATGCCGTATGGTGACCTTCAGATGCTTTAACCTATATTTGGATTTTATCTCTAGTTCCACCTTGTATAAGCAATCGATTGTAGGGTTTTAATATTACGTAGAGTTCTTTACAGGCGCTGTTGCTAATGAAGTTCAAGCCACATGAATTACAGTTCTTAGTGAGGGTTGTTGGAAAAATGAGGATATGACAAAATCTAATTCAAACAGTATTTGTTATTTAAAAGACAATTATATCTATGCTATCATTTATTCGGGATAAAGAAATGTCCTTTGTAGATGTGCTATCAAAATGAAGTATGTTTGTACTAATAAGCCAATATACCCGTACTTTTTTGTGTAAAGTATTTAGCAATTAAAAATTGAAATGACTTCTAATAGTTACTTACAATGTACATGTACCTCAGCAAATATGATACAATAGTTGTGTTATACATTATAATTCAGTTTACTATTTATAATTGCATAAGGACATACCTCCATAAAACAAAATGTACAGCAATGGTAAATATCAGGAAAAAAATAGACACAATACATCCAGCAGTTGATATTATACTCAAAGGTAGGTTGTGCAAATCGGGCTATAAAAAAATAAAAAACATTTCAATGGTATATGACCTTGTTATCTTTATATTTAAACGAACTATGATCTTTTACTTTGAGACCCACATCAACGGAATAAAATTTTTCACTTCTTCTTATATAGACATGATTTGAGATTGAATATAATTGTCTGCTAAAATGTTTATCAGCTAAGAATTATAATTAATATACTCAGAATAATATAAATATCATATAAATCATCTTGTGGAAGTGTTTTCAGTTATTTTGACTTCATCTCTCTCAAACAAAAGAGTAGAAATATAATTCGACATCGACGGAATTTCACTGAGTAGGCTTAAACGGTTAGCGTAAACCAAAACAAAAGACAGACTTAGGAATGCCCATTTATGCAGTGTCTGAAACATTACATGTATATTGTGTTGATTGTAAAACAAAATTTTAGAAAAATTCATCTTGGAAAACAATTATCAACGAAGGACAGAGAGCACTTTATTTAGTAATTTGTTGTTTTAGAATCAAATGGACTATTGGTAATTTTATTGTTTGTACCCCAAATATAAAAAGAACACGTCACGCCATTGGTTAAATCTTAAATGTTTAGGACGTTGTTAACCAATCAAGATGTATTGGTGTACACTTTTGGAAATATTATTCAGAATGCAATATGTTGTGAAACGGCGAAATGCGTGTTTCGTATTGTAAATTTTTGGAGTGTAAAAGCGATGGCAGAAGCACATTTTGCATTAGTGGAACATATAAAAATGTACAACCCACAGCTTTACAAAAGGCGCTCATTTCTCACAATTACATTTTATTTACTATAACATTAAATTACAAGTTATATCATATTTGTCGTTTTATTTTCTATTCATTATCATAACGTTGTCACAGAGTTGTTACATTTCAAAACAAAGTAAAGCAAAACTTTTGAAATACACCGGCCAATACAAACAAGTAATTTAATGAAACATCTATGTTATGTGTATGTAATTATTAAGAAATATCGAAACATCATAAATATATTTACCGTTTTCACTGGACTCATCAAAATAGCGAAATTTGTGGTATGGTTATATTGGCATATTGTATAACTGTTAGTTGATTCAGTAACTCTTGATCCTTCTGTAGACCATGCTCCATTCGGAGTGTCTCTGTTGTATGAAATTATAATGATAATGATATAGGCGTCATAATTACATAAATCATATGAACATGCTACTTTGAATATTTTATTAAATTATAATAACGAAAAACATTGCAATCTATACTATATACGCGTCGTGTATATTATTATCTATGCGACTGTCATATAAGTGGGAGGTTTAGCTAGCTATAAAACCAGGTTTAATCCACCATTTTCTACATAAGGAAATGCCTGTACCACTTCAGGAATATGACAGTTGTTTTCCATTTGTCTGATGTGTTTGAGCTTTTGATTTTGCCATTTGATAAAATACTTTCCGTTGCGAATTTTCCTTGGAATTCGGTATTTTTGTTATTTTACTTTTTATTACAATCCGGGTATCTTTGATGAACTTGTTTTTGTCAAACATAAAAGAGTAGTGCCAAAAATAACATTCAGTAATTAACAAAAATCTGTAAACTAAAAGACAACACAAAACAGGTGATTAACGTTGAAACTGAAGGCGAAACATGCGAATAACCTAAAAAATTACAACAATGATAAGTTTTGCATACACTGTCAAAGGAATTAAGATATAAAGCAGTTGTTCTAAATATACAACTAACTAAGTATTTAATGTAAATAAAACATTATTTTTTTCGATATTTTATGAAGTTATAAACATACAAATACACATACCTAAAACATAAAAACCGAAATACTATGCATTTTCTTGCAAATGTGTATTATACATTAGAATCTAAACTGTATGAACAAACGCCCAGTATATTCATCCAACTCTAATCGCTATAATTCAAATAACTTTTTACGTCACAATCAGCATTTTAGAATGTTATGAAAAGTAAACAACGGCTGGGACTTTAAATAAACTAATCTTTTATGTGTGTAGATATAAGAAGATGTGGTATGAGTTCCAATGAGACAACTCTCCATCCAAGTCAAAATTTATAAAAGTAAACCATTATAGGTCACAGTACGGTCTTCAACACGGAGCCTTGGCTCACACCGAAAAGTAAGCTATAAAGGGCCCCAAAAAATTACTAGTGTAAAACCATTAAAACATTTTATGTGTGTACATGTATATCAAATTGCAAGATAAAAACATGCACACAAATTATAAAATAAAATTTGTACTCGCGACGAAACAGAAGAAAAGTTTGGCTAGCCTCGCTTTTCCTTCTGTTTGTACAGCCCGTGATACACTTCCATATTTTCAAACAAGTAACACACACTATATATGTTTTGTTGAATTTTATATGAAACAGGTAGTGCATGAAACCATATAGTTTTAAACGATTTATAAGGTACGTAACAGTATAAAAAGGAAATGCATGAAACTAGGTATAAATTAGGTAAATGATTAGAAGTTAAGAAATTCAGCTCCCAGTAGCAGGTAGCGCAGTCTTGGCATGACCAAGCTTATAGTCCAAAACTTTGAAGTTCCCATACTTCAACTACTTCAACATCACTTCTGAATTTGTAAATTAAAAAAAGCTATGTTTAGCATTTGCTTGAAGAAGCATGTAAAACTTACTGTATATCAAAATCCCAGAATCCGCAAAATGGTTTTGAGTAGCCCGCCTGTAAAATCCAAAAAAATGTGTTACGAAGAGGTATGCAAAAAATGCAATATTCAGTATGTATGTACGTCAAGAAAACAGAAACCAAGAACACATAAAGTCCTACCTCCCAAAAAGACCGCTTAAGTTTAACATATGTCTGCATATATAAATCGTGTAATATGAATATATATATTAAGCTGCAATTCTTAGAGTCTAGGCCAAAATATTAGTCTCAATACAAACAAAGTTTCAACAAATCATTTCAAAAGACAAGATTTGTTAATGATGGCCATATTGAAGAATACAAAGTTGAATCCAATTTTTCAGTAGTAACAAAACTGACTGCCTCATCGTATTGTGTTTACATAGATCAAATTGATATGTTACTCGCGATCTTGTTCACATTGTACAGACCTTATTAAGAAGTGTAAGCTGTTAATCAAAACATTGTTTGAGCAGCAATATGAAGAAGAACAACTGAAATCAACCCTACACCAGTTTTACGGTAAACAATAAAAATAGATTGACCGATAGGATGTGTTTGTGGCTTATTTCATGCGAACATGATTTCGTGGTCTTAGTTCCTAAGATATCAGAATAATCGTCTTATCTGTAAATTTGTCGATTAAGTAAAATACCTTATCGTGACATTTTGACTGGATCTCTGGGGAGTGATCAAAGCAAAGGAAACGCTTACCCTTTCATCACACCTGTTCTCGCTCCGTTTAACATTCAAAACATTCCCCAAGTCTTTTATATCCTGATTTGTATATTCAAAGTAGATTCACGTGGTTGGAACATTATGTCCTCACTTTAAATTAACGTGCACTTCAAATAGAATAATAACTATATAACTATAGCTAACAAAATATCACTTGCCGATATGTGCTGAAATTTTATAATCAAAGGGTAATCTAAACGTTCTGGTGTTGGCTCAATAGAAAAGTCGGCAACAAATGAATTCACGTCATAGCTGCTGTTAATAACACTTAGTTCTCTGTAAAAAAATATATCAAAAAGATAGGTTTATGCTAAGGGACATAACATCAAAAGTCACTGTTGTATCAAGTAAGCATTTTCATAAATATATACTAAGCTTATAGATAAGATCAACTGCATTGCTTATAATGAGAGTTGTCTACCCTATCCAATGAACACTTGGAACAGGATCAACTTACCCCTCTTGACAACCTTAGTTTAACCCCGGATTTCGATGGGGTTTGTTTTGTTTAGTTTCTCTGTTGTGTTTTTGTAATTGTTTGTCTTTTCCTTTTCCTCCTTTTTCGTTTTTTTATTTCATTGTACGTTTCTCTTCCGAGTTTCAAATGTCCAATAAGTATCTTTCGCCTTTTTTTAAATGGCTTCCGTTGAAATGTAAAATAAACATTACGTAAATTACTCCTTTTCATGTCAATAAAATCTGTTTCCTAAATGTATAAAAAAAGGTCTCCTTTTAAAATCTTTCAGCCATCAATGAACTATGGTTTCTGATTCTTATATGAAGATGAAAAAAAAACTATACAAACCCGTTTTGTTGAAAATAATCGGGAAATATCTTCGAAATATTTCTGTAGAACACAGTACTATATCCAGTTATATTCAGTTCTAAAAATATTTTAAAGAAATTTCTTCATTTAAATGATAAAAAATACAGTTGCATCTTTCACTTACATTTTGAAATTGTTTTAAGCTGAAGGGATCAAAGATCAATGATGGAAGTGTTGAACACAACGGACCTGAACAAATGAAGATAATTAACATATTATCCTAGTGAATATAGAAGCTGTTTGACCAAAATTACCATAACGTTAAATAGGCTAAGCTGGACAAAGTGTCATAATTCTCGTAAAAAGTTCTCAAATCAAAATGTCAGTATGGAACCGTAGTGTATGAGAGTTTTCGGGCAAACAGTCTCATGCCGACGTGTATCGTTTTCAAGTTCGTTTATCGATATCATAAGTCAGTCTGTGAATCGCCCATTGTCTATACAGATGAGAGTAAATATTAAAAAGTCTATCAGAGATCTGCCATTAACACCATACATACTTTTGCAATGGTCTCACAATATTTATGCTTATTCTACGAGATATCAACTTGAAAAAATCAATTACAAAAAATGCAAGATACATACCATCAAAGTTTTTCTTATTCAGGGTTATTTCCGTCGGAGAATCCGAAATCCAGGATTCTGATATCTTTGATTTGACAGGGACAATCAAATCTTCAGATCGAATCTTTCCTACCTCAATCACTAAAACAAATGGAATCATCATTCAACAAATTTTATCGACAAACATTATCTTGTGCATGTGATAAGAGCAATTTTGGTTAATCAAATTTTGGTTTTCGTGTTATGACAATAATTACTCCAGCAACGCGCAACAGACGCCCCAAATATATATTAAAATTAAGTGTATATCATAAAACTTTAAACAACACGTGTACGTTCTTTTGTGTATTAAGAAAAAGAGATAGAGAGAAAGGAACTTACCTATATTTTTATTCTCCACGACGTTATATTCCCTTTCTATAACATTAGTATAGCTCTTGGTGTATAGTGTGACAGATTTTACCAATCCAGTTATACTGCTTGGTCCCTAAAATTTGAAAGTTTTATACACACAAGATATCAATGTCAACAAATGAACAATATGGATTGTATTATGAAAAAATGCTTCATCTGATACGCATAAAAACATAATCTCATATTAAAGCTTGGTAAATTGTTTAAAAATACAATTTACTGTTGCCTCAATATCTTATCATTATTAAGTCAAATCAGGTGTTTCCCATAGAATATACGATGGAACACACAAACATAGTGCTTCATGTCCCGTGTGGCAATAAAGGACCTTGGTAACCCGGGCGAAGTTTTTCGTATTGTTGTCTCTAATGGATAAAGCTACCAAGTTCATGATGCCCTCGGGGAAAAAATCCAAAAGCAGAAAACTGTCTTAATACCTACATGTTTTAGTGAAAAAAGTATTAACAAAAAACAGAACGCTAAGTTAAATTCCAATGGGAAGTTCATGCCCTAAAAATGTCAGTTTCTCACTATAATTTAAAACAAATTTCTCCCCAATTTAAAAAAAGGAATTTGTTTTCTTCTTTGCATTTTTTGTCTCTTTGTCCGACCTTTTAGAGAGTTTAACACTCAACAACTATAGTATCTTCTCGATATATTTCTTTTAAATGTACATTAAACAATGTCCTCTTGAATTTGCTTTTCTGGCCTGATTTTTAAAGTGTTAATCTTACTGTATAACTGTCATACTTATGTCATTTTTCAAATATTTACTAATATTTTTTCCTTTCAGATTTCTTATGGTTATATAAACCCTCAAGTTTGTAAACCTTCTTGCTTTTTCAAAGTTTTGTCATTGCAGATTTATCATATCCAGGAAATCATTTGACGTAATTTTGGGTCCTGAATGCTCTTCGACTTCGTCATTTGTTTGGCCTTTTAATTTTTGATTCGAGCGTCACTGGTAAGTAGTTTTTAAGCGAAACGTTCGTATGGCTTACAAAATGTTAACCCTGGTATCAGGTGATGATTTTATTTTATTATTCTATGCTTTCAACTCTTTTTCAAGATTAAGTTATAATTCAAATAGAAATGCTTTTCTGTGGTTTACCATATAATTGACCAAATCGACCCTACCTTCAGTTTCAACTCATTCCAATTGTTGCTGTTTTTATCATCCAGTAGACTGTTACAAAGTGAACCAAATGTCTAAAATAATGAAGTGTACGTATATAATAGCCATGCATTTAATTACATCAAAGTTTAAAGTATACACTATTAATGTTTTCTACTTTAAGATAATGAAAAAAATGTCTCGCCAATAGACCCATCAGAACATTCAACTTTCGACATCTTCAATTACGTTTCGCAGTAAAAGTGACACTGCAGATGACGTCGGGACTAATTAACAATGCCAACAACAATAGTGTTCAAATAATGTAACGACGTTTCCGTTTCCGCCATTCTCCTTTGAATGATCTACTTCGTGTTATGATTTTATCGATTCAATCTATTTATCATAGTTGATGAAATATCGAAAGACATATGATTTTGTATAATAATTGCTTTGTATCAAGAACAACATTTTAGAGGCTTTTCTTTTTCACCATTTTACCTTAATATTTTCCACATGGCTCTTTCCAGGCTCTATATTAAGAAAATATATCCAGCAATCCTTTCTATTTCTGAATATATTCATTTGAAAAATGCATCGCTTATAGTTAAATATTAAGAAATATTTCTTATTTCTTATTTATTGATGAAACAACAAAACATTCACATTTCTAAATCATTACTTATAAAGGCCTTTTTCCGGTCAAATATTCATATTTTTCAAATGGTTATTTCTGAAAAGGTACAACGACACACCTTTATCCTTCTTCAATTCTTTTATCCGCTATACATTATAAATTTAAAATGTGAATTTCATGAACGCTTATTTTGGTGTAATTTGACACAAACCTCTAGTTGATTGCCAGAGACTGCTGCTGTGTTTTGTGCTACATGCTCTGAAATGTCTTTCAATATAGCTGTTGATGTTACCATGTCACCGCTTCTTAGATCCTCAGCTTCGCTCGTCAGATTATTTAGTTCATTTAGAATATCATTTACAATCGCAGCAGTATTGTCGCTGGTCTGGAGCATACTTGCCTAAAAATGGAAAAGTGAATCTTCCATACTTTAGAAGCGATAAAATCAGCGATGATATAGAAATGTACTAGTTCAGTAGTTTTCATATTCAATCTCGAAAAGAAGCTCATACTCTTGATTATATCATACGTTACCAATATGCTGGCACCTGCCAAGTAATACATAAATGTGGAATTGAAATTTTACGTCCTTCCTTATGTTGTAAGGTTTTGTTTTAAAACTGACTTTTATCTAAAAGGTTATCAATTTAAAATTGTAGTAATATTGTGAATAGTTTAGTTATCGGTCTAACCTTGATTTAATTTTCAGAGTTTTAGAAGGGGAAAATAATCATCCAGTCATGGAAACTTACGCCCCTGCATTCTGTCGATTCTTATTTTTTGGCATTGCGCAAGGCTCACACCAATGATATGTGTACACAAATGTTCGGTTTTGAGCGTTTCCAGTGGGTTTCTTGGAAACCAATTTCAGTCTTATTCTGAATAGTACAAATAAAGTACTGGTCGGCGAGGAGAGCCCACAATAAGAGCTAATAGGATGGACGACCGACGTTAGCCAAAACAAAAAAAAATCCCCAAAAACATGGCCAACAATAGCGTATCGAAACTGCTGTAAAACTAAACCTGAATACTTCGTTGAAGCCAAGTTCAAAAACGTGTTTTTGCAATACTTTGTTAAACGAATGATCCTTTCTTAGAATTATATACTTGTGCATACGTGCATTTTTGTACGCCTTTTAAATTTCAATTGATTTTTCAGAGTATATCTTTAAATAACAGTATGGAACAGTTAATGTAAAATCAAATGGTAGAACAATGTAGTTTCTTAATGCTATTATTTGCAAATGGTGATATAAATTAGTTATAGTTATTATTCAGAGATCTTTAGAATTTATGAATATTAGATTTACCTGTTTTTGTAAATTTTTAATGGCCACACTTGTACATTGACTGTTATCCGGCTCTTCCCACTGGCCTCCTGTGCCACAAAATCGGGAGACAGTACCAGTATAATTACCAGTACATGCCATTTCAATTACAGTACCAACTTTTGTTTGGTCCCATTTTGTGTTGAATCTGTCGACATTCATAAAACAAAATTCTGATGAATCTGCAATAACAATGATAAATATAAAAACATTGTGTTATTTATCTATATGCTAGTAATGTTTTTCCATACTATAATGTAGTTCATAGTTTCTTAATTAAAAAAAATGAGGAAATAATAAGAAAAATATATCAGACTCTCCTTCGAAATATCGTATTGTTTCGAATTAATAGAAAAAATCGAAGGAAAACAAAAATTGAAATTAAACATAAACGTCTTGCTTTGATTGAACAAATATAGTAGAATTAAAACATAATGATTCCTGCTTACCCTTCCGGAGCAGCACTTGAGATCAAACCGTAGTTTTGGCGGGGTTCGTGATGCTCAGTCTTTAGTGTTCTATGTTGTGTTTTGTGTACTGTTCTTGGTCTATTGTTGTTTTTTCTTTTTTTGCCATGGCGTTGTCAGTTTGTTTTCGACTAACGAGTTTGAATGTCCCTTTGGTATCTTTTGCCTCTCTTTTACGCTTTATTTTGCAGCTATTTGACAGTCTTTTAATTTGATAGTTTCAAAATTGAAAGAATCACATACTTATGAAATGAAGCAATGCATACAGACTCCCCAAAGAATGTTCGAGGGTATCACCAACAAGTAGTCAACTTCCATTCTCAATTTTAACATTCATATGGGTTATATTAAAAAATGAAAAAAAAGAGTCACCAAAAGAACCACTTTTTTGACCGATAAGAACAACAAAAATCATTATTATACAGGTAAAAACAATGATTTACGTTTTGCTTAATATGTTACATGAAATTAAATATAAGCAGAAAAATCGGCATTATACGATTGCATGTGCTTGGGTATGCATTAATATTTATATTCATGTTTATATCGGTTCATAAACCATTGGCATTCTTCGGAGGTCATTTCGATGATTAATTATATGGCGTTTATTCTGAAATACACACGGACTGCTGATACATTATAACGAGTCGATGCTTTGTTGAGTGTTTCTTTTGGAATTTTTAGAATTTGAATGTACGTTTTGGTATGTGATAAATCAAATATGAGAACTTGGGTCAAATCGGTAAACATGAATTATCCCTTTAAGGTTTGCGCTATTTCAACATTTTATAACCTTTGAAACAGCTAGGATAAAAATTTATTCTCTGAATAAACCGAACAAGGATCAAATTAAACTTTTTACGTAAACACTATCGCGTTCTAAGGGCTTATCTAGTATTAGCTATTTTTTCGTGTTTGTTTTTTACTTGTGACAACCTACCAGCAAACAGACGCAAAACAATACAAAATTCATCTTTGACCCTATCAATATACAAATGATACAGTATTACCATCCGTTTATGCATGCCAAGGTTCAGAATTTAACAGTCATAGTTGCATGTAGGAGGTCTTGAAATTGTTCAAGGCTTATCTATTCAATATTACAGATATATTCGTGTCGTCTCATGAATAAATGTAAAAGTTAAGAGATGTGGTAGGATTGTTAATGAGACTGTTATTCAAGAGATACCACAGGACGAGGAAAGCACTGTATGGTTTTCAACAATAAGCAAAACTGTTATATAATATATATATATATATATCAAGGTAAATAATCTTTAGTTATATAAGCCACTGAAAAATAAACTTTAACCTTTAGATCTTTATCGTTAGACATTGATTAACATACAAAGATCTTTAAATACATGGTGAGAAAAATTATCTTTATTACCGACTTAACTAAGTTTATCTGCATATTGTTACAATACTTTAAACTAGTTTTTGGCACCTCGCCTACTATCTATTAGTTAGAAAAAGTACGTTTGTGATTCATTACAGAAAATCCTTATACTGTCTAAATGAAGTTGCATAAGGTTCTTATTGATTACTCTGCCGGGTTGTCCGTTTATACATGTCATTAACATATATAAACTGAGCATTGGTATACATGTGGTACCTTACCTTTATTTTCGGCAAAACAGGAATATATAAAAACGCAATATTAACAAGAACGTACAATAATCATAACGGTAATATGATAGCTAAAATTAGATACCACCACGCCAACAAAAAAAATTTACACAGCTCAAACTAAAACTTGCTAACGTGTCACCCTATTCATTACTGAACTCAAAAAGAAATTCCAGTACAGTAATTGGCCATTATCAGTCATTCGACTTCCGACATCTTCTTCTATTAACCAAATAAATGAAGAATATGTCTAGGGGCCACAAATGCCCCTGCTTGTAAATATGCATGAGTCAACTTCCACATACAGATACAGGATTCATGTAGTTAAGACCGTTTTGTGATTATAAGCACAAGTTTCATAACATTTGGTTGAGGCAAACTAAAGCTAAACGGAAACGACAGATTTAGCAATTTTTACATTTATAAAGGGACATAACTCAAGAACAGTAAAAGTGACGCCATTAAATTTAGAATCTGATCTGTGTTTTGTGGTAATCAGCATTGTGTATAAGTTTTATAACATTTGGTTAAGGCAAATTAAAGTTAGAGAACGGAAAAGAAAAAATCGGCAATTTTTATGTTTATAAAGGAGCATGACTCATGAACAGTAAAAGTGACGCCTCCCAATTTCAAACTTGATCTGTGGTAATACGTATTGTGTATAAGTTTTATAACATTTGGTTGAGGCAAACTAAAGTTAGAGAACGGATACGAAAATTTCAGCATTTTTTTATGTTTATAAAGAGGTATAACTCATGAACGGTAAAAGTGACGCCATCCAATTTCGAACATGATCTGTGTTTTGTGGTAATAAGCATTGTATGTAAGTTTAATAACATTTGGTTGAGGCAAACTAAAGTTAGAGAACGGAACGCTACGGCGGGGTCATAAAAATTGTATTATGCTTGTTCTTAAAAAAGGTGTTTCTGAAATAATTTCATCAAATAGGCTCAAGACAAAAAAGTTTGGACAGTCAAAAATGTGAGAGAACAAAACCCAGAAGGGCTAAAGCAGAATAGTCAGCTCTTTGCTTGTGTAACCGGAGAGCATGATTCTATTACAAAATTACTTTGTCGCCGCCGGGTCTCGAACCGGGGACCTCTGTGATACAAGGCAGCGCTCTAACCGACTGACCTAAAGAAGTACTTTCCTAGCTAAACCGCTTACGGCTGGCTAAGTATACACTATATTCACTAAGGGAAGTAATCATGTCACACCTGGATGAAATGCAAACCTAGGTTCACTACATTTACATAGTTCATAAGAACGAGCAATTTGCAGTCAATAGTAGTTTTAGAATTCTGAAATACATAATTCGAAGGTAAAGGTTGATTTAAAAACTCAAAAATGATACTTAAGAGAGTTGGTGGTTGTAAATTACATATCTTAATTCATTTTGATAATCTGAATCATTGTGACGGCTAAAAATAGTAAAAGAAATTTCGTAAATATTTTTTCTTGCTCCTCTTCGAATAAAATATTACTGGTGTGGGTATACATAAATCAATAAAATCGGCAAATTAGGACAACGGTAGTCTAACGATGTTCAAGTACATGTAATACAAATCGATTAGGAAGACAAATCAAGGCAAAAATCTGAGCGAATCGCAATAACATCGAGAGGAGCGAGACCGGGTGCGCAACAGGAGAAAGCTTCCCCCGCATGCATTCAAAGTAAGTTTCTTGGTATAACTTTGTGAAACTAAGATGATTGAATTTGATAAAATTCTTATGTTGCAATGTCGTTCTGAATCGTTATAAAAAATATGACTATCTATTTTCAGCATACTTGCAAAAGTACGAAAGCTGGATCGCTTTAAATCAATAAAAATCGGCAAATTAGGACAACATCAGTTTAACGATGTTCAAATACATGTAACACAAATCGATTAGAAAGACAAATCAAGGCAAAAACCTGAGTGAATCGCAATAACATCGAGTGGAGCGAGACCGGGTGCGCAACAGGGCAAGCGTCCCCCGCATGCATTCAAAGTAAGTTTCTTAGTATAACTTTGTGAAACTAAGATGATTGAAGTTGATAAAATTCTTATGTTGCAATGTCGTTCTGAATCGTTATAAAAATATGACTATTTATTTTCAGCATACTTGCAAAAATACGAAAGCTGGATCGCTTTAAATCAATAAAAATCGGCAAATTAGGACAACAGTAGTTTAACGATGTTCAAATACATGTAACACAAATCGATTAGAAAAACAAATCAACTCAAAAACCTGAGTGAATCGCAATAACATCGAGAGGAGCGAGACCGGGTGCGCAACAAAGCAAGCGTCACCCGCATGCATTCAAAGTAAGTTTCTTAGTATAAATTTGTGAAACTAAGATGATTGAATTAAGTAAAATGTTATGTTAGAATGTCATCCTAAATCGTTATAAAAATAATAATTTTGTATTTTCAGCATACTACCTGCAAAAGTATGAAAGCTGGATCGTTTTAATTTAGAGTCACCAACTAAATTAACAAATAGTTGGAGCAGGAGGATTTTAGAAATGAATATACTGATCTTGGCAGAGCTGTGAATAAATAGTGTTGGTTAACTTTTCATAATTTTTTCTACGTACAGACCATTTTTAAGAATGATGGACATTTCGTATCACATGTTATTCACACTGGCGAAAACTACTTCCAAAATCACAGTTTTTTTTTGGTGTAGAATTTCCTTTTAGGGTTTGAAGGCTATCAATATAAACAATATCTTCTGTCAAAAGTAATTACGAATAACAATACCTGATTACTTCAAAATCAAGATAACACCTGTCATTTCTCATACCTACACCAAACCTATTGCATAAACGATTGTCAACCATTAAAGTGTATAACAGACCATTACCCCCAATGATGTAAAATGTAAACATCCCAATTGCTCCTATTCCTCACCCCAATACAAATGTATTGTTCCTCGTCCACATATAGTACTGCTCGTCATCTTTTAACCACAGGATTAAGCATCATAAACACTGAACAACTTAGATAGAAGAAGAAGAGCTTCAGACTACTGATAAAAGCAGTTGAAGAATATACCAGCAAATGTGTTAATCACGAGGCAAATAAACGGGACACTTTAACTGACTAGATCACGGCTGTTCGGTCATTCAGTAGTTTGCTGTTTAGTATTTTGTAAACAGAAGTTTTCTTTTACTCGCTTTTTTTAACAGTGATAATGCTGATTAATCTCTGACTTGAATTTTGTCCCCTAGATTTCGTTTTTCTCTTTTCCTCGTTCCATGATATATATTGATCAAGACTCAGTACAGATTTGTGAAAACAATAAAGAGCAACACGGCATATGCCACTTGTGAAGCAGAAACTGCTTATAATAACTTAGCCATTTGATTAGGGACTTTCCGTTTTGAATTTTCCTCGGAGTTCAGTATTTTTGTGATTTATTTTTGATCCTTATAGATTAACCTAACACGTTTGGTTCCATGTCAAAAGCTGTTAATAAGAACAAACTTTTAAGCGCTTCCTTTGTCGACAGATAGTCTTCAAAACGTTCCAGCGGACATGACTCAAATGAAACACCTAATAGATGTATAATCTATTGTAAACACTGTCCTTGAGCATACACATATTCTGATAAGTGGTTTACATACTTATGTATTAGACAGCGGTGATTGGTGCTGGGGCTGAAATAAATCTAAGTCTATCAAGTGATGTAATTGTCTGTCGACAGAACGTTCTATAAACTCTAGTGATCTTTGTTTTTTTTTTCACGGCCTAAGTTAATACCTTATTTTCTATCTTAAAAGAGGGACGAAAGATACCAGAGGGACAGTATTACTCATAGATCGAAAACAAACTGACAACGCCATGGTCACAAACAGACAAATGATAATACAGATGACACAACATAGGAAACTAAAGACTAAGCAACACGAACCCCACCAATAGTCATAAGATAGCACCGCTCTTAAAATGATCACAAATAAACAAAAAGTAAGAGATATTTCAACCAAATCGTATGTGTATCTCTTTCAATACTTGATAGATTTGCTTAAACTACAAAACTATATACAGTATTATATTTTTAAGCAGTCAATAAAAAAAAACTTGCAGACGAACATCAATAAACTAGCCGTAACTTGAGAGGCGCTCTTGATCTGCATACAATTTAACCGGATTTGTTGTAAAGTCTGCTGATTTTATAATTTCTTTATACTTAAGTAACAAAGACGTAACAATATATCGTTCATAAATATCAATTTCATAGACCATGTCATTAAAGATTCCTATACAATTATCATCATTAAGAGACAAAGAATGCATATTTTATAATTAATTGTTTAGTGGCTTGTATAGCAAAAGATTACATCACATATGATGATTTTGGTGTGTAGTTGAATTAATATAAGAATAAGATATAAGTGCCAAATTGCTTTAGCATTTTACAAGAGACAACTGACAGATATTCGATAGGAAGTAAATCATAAACATACTTGACGTCGACGAGACATCTGTTACGTTTAAATATAAATGCCTCGCACAATGCGACGATATTTTGTGACTTTTAATTTTGAACGCTGGTCCTGTTTTTGCAATAAACCGCATCATGGTATAGTTATATTGATATTGTAAAAACAATAAACTTTACAGAGAAAAAAATGACAGCTTTATTTGATACGTACAAATTAACCACAATACACTAATAAAGGAAATGGAAGATAAATGCTATCGAAGTCTTCTAAACTTCAAAGGACCGGAAGAACTAGATAACCTCATATAAAATAAACTGTATGACTCACCTAATGCTATTTTTATAGAAAATGCAAATGTTGAAATAGAATAGAAATGCTTTAACATGTTTCTGTAACTGTGTAAATTAGTCAACCAAACATGCCTAAAGGAACAGGGCCGACTGATTTTCTTGGGAATGAGATAATTATCCCTGCCAGTAGTAATACAACTGCATACCAATTATCATTAAATTATAACAAGTAGTTCCCCTTCAACTGACCTAACCACAAATTTTTTCACATGTAAATATACCATAGTTAAGGGGACAGAGCCTAAAAACAATCTCTATGAAAATGAGATGTGCCAATGTTTATACAACTGCATACCAAATAAAGGCAACAGTAGTATACCGCTGTTCCAAACATCATTGAATAATCATTAGTGGTTACCCGTAAACTAGCCTAATCGTAACAAACAACATGGATACTATGCAAAGTCAATAGACCATGACTTGAGGGGCAGGACCAACTAATCTCCACGAAAATATACCAATGCTTCTATAACTGCATATCCAATATTGTTGACCATTCATAAATGGTTCTACTTAAGCTGACCCAATTCACAAATTTTAACATGGAAAATATGCAAAAGTTTTAAAGTCAACGGACCATGACTGAGAGAGCAGGGCCAAATACTCTTCATGGAAATGAGATGCGTAAATGCTTATATACTAGTTACTGCATACACAATATCATTGATTTACCATCAGTGGTTCCCCTTAAACTGACTTAATCAGAAACTTAAATTAATTGTTGACGTCGCCGCCACCGAAGGATACAGCATATCTCTAAGTCTCGTTTGTTTCCTCTGTCAAGCCGAGACAAAAATGAATCGCCATTTAGAACATAATGACCTATTCCAATAAAGAAAGACCTAAATTATATTTTAATTACTTTTACTGTTTAACACAAACTAAAGAAGCCTTTACGGATAATTTCATCCAGATCTCAATAAACACTTTACGATAGTCATATAAGTGCAGCCATTCTAGATTTGACATAAAATGGCGGCCGCGTAGTAAAGAAACGTTCGTCACGAAAATCCGGACTGCTATCTATCGTACTGTAGTGTACTCATTTTTTTTAGGCATTTGAATATCTGGGAAAAAAAGCGCGTACAACTCTGACCTGAAGTCTTTTATATGAACTTAATAGTGTGCCTGTAGATCAGCAAAAAACTTAAACAGCCAAATATATACAAGTTGTAGTGCGCACAAATCAGAAAGAGTTAAAAAGAAAGGCCACACTTGCCTGCAAGTGTAGCAGACTTAGCTTAAGAACAATAACATACTTTTAAAAACAGGAACACTCAAAATTTATCAAATACAATAAAAGTTTCAGAATTCTGGAATTTATCAAACCTTTAAAGTGTTTAAGGCGATCTTAAAACTTATCTTATCAACTGAATTTTTTCTATTTAAAATTGAAGGTCGTCCTAAACATGCATCAACTATTTGCCACTGGACGTTAAACTACCAGAAATAAATCAATAAAAATTGAAGGTGGTATAACAACTGCTAGATTTAGAACGACAGTGGCTATCCATAAAGTGTCTCGCACGAGCGGTAGCATCGCGATGTTTGTTAAATTCACGTAAATCCATGTATAAACAGAAAAAAAACATAGAAGCGAACATGTTAAACCGTAATAGAAAGATACAGAGTGCAACATGGTAAGCAAATCTCGATTTTATTCTAATTTCTAACACAAATGTTCCTATTGACGGTAAATACAAAAGTGCGTTACTTAGTAACTTTGTGATAGGCAGACAGACCGGGATCTGAATTCAATTTTCAAAACAGGGTTCCAGTCTAATATATCTTTTAAAATGGTTATTCAAAGAAATCCTCTAGATGATGATTTAAAAAAATCATCTGATGGATATCTAAAGACATCATCTAGACGGTGTTCTAAAAAAATCATCTAGATGGTGATCTAAAGAAATCATCTGGATGATGATTTAAAGAAATCATCTAGATGGTGATTTAAAGAAATCATCTGGATGGTGATTAAAAGAAATCATCTGGATGGTGATCTAAACAAATCATCTAGATGGTGATCTAAACAAATCCTCTAGATGGTGATTTAAAGATATCATTTAGATGGTGATTTAAAGAAATCATCTAGATGGCAATTAAAAGAAATCATATAGATGCTGATCTAAAGAAATCATCTAGATGGTGATTCAAAGAAATCATCTAGATGGTGATTTAAAAAAATCACCTAGATGGTGATCTAAAGAAATCATCTAGATGATATTTCAAAGAAATCATCTAGATGGTGATTTAAAGAAATCATCTAGATGGTGATCTAAAGAAATCATCTAGATGGTGATTTAAAGAAATCATCTAGATGGTGATTTAAAGAAATCATCTAGATGGCAATTTAAAGAAATCATCTAGATGGTGATCTAAAGAAATCATCTAGATGGTGATCTAAAGAAATCATCTAGATGGTGATTTAAAGAAATCATCTAGATTGTGATTTAAAGATATCATCTAGATTGTGATTTAAAGAAATCCTCTATATGATAATTTAAAGAAATCATCTAGATGGTGATTTAAAGAAATCATCTAGATGGTGATTTAAAGAAATCATCTAGATGGCAATTTAAAGAAATCACCTAGATGGTGATCTAAAGAAATCATCTAGATGGTGATTTACGTAACCATCTAGATGTCTTTTGATTTGCAAGTTGTTAGTTTGCTACCTAATTTTAGAATATCCTTCTTCTTTGTTTCATGCTTTTATTCATTATTTGAAAAATGGGTTGATCATCATCCAGCACGTTTTCAAAATTATGAAAACAATAACTTTTTTTGATATAGTCACCAATTCAATAACGACTTTAAGCCTTTACTTTTTTTTGTGTTTAATGGTTTGACTTATTTGTGACTATCACATAATGTGGAATAAGATTACAACGACAATGCATTTACACTTCTGTTTGAAGTGCACTTTTGTTCATTTTTAGATAGAGCCATTTAAAAAAACCTTTATTGTTAATAAAATCTTTAGTAAGTTAAATATCCCGTCTTTTGTCATTATATTAATAAAATCTTAGCTTAGCTATTGATTAAAGGAATATGTGCATTGTTGTGATCTCTTGGTGAAATAATTCGATAAAGCAAACACTTTATATTTTTTGAAAGTTCTAGTTTCAATAAGAAAAAAATTAAATATTACGCTTTGAATAAAAGAAAAAAAATACATTGTTTTAAAATATTATGTTGCTAATGTTGTAGAAATGTTAAAGTAAATTGCTACATTACCTGTTTGTGATGTTGTGATTTTGAACGACAATGTTTCACATTTAGAATCCAAGCATCCTTTAACTGAAACAACTTTGAATGATATATCGTCGGTATTTCCATACAAACTATCTTTTTGTACACTATTCCTTAATTCGTCTACCACTGTGTCAAGATCAACTGATTCTGTGATATTGACTGCATTTAGATCATAAGTCTTCCTATTTGCAAGAAATAATTCAACATGAATATCCGCAGACAGATGATTACTTGAGTTACTGTTAAGTTGAGAAAACCAAAGAACCCCCTTTTCTTGCCATTTGAGTTTAGTTGCTAGGTTTTCAACAATTTCTAGAGAGATCGTCACATCATCGTCAAGCACTGAGCGGCGACGCCTGTCTAAAGCAGCTTTAGAATAACTTACCGTCAAATCAAACTTTCGTACTTCTTCGCCAAATGTAACATTTTGATAAAAAGATTCACTACAGTTTTTCAAAGTATTAAACATAGTATCAATAAATCTGTTTGTAGAATGATAAAACTGTCCCAAGGTTGATCTGACTGTCCAAAATACCTGGAAGTAGTCTGAAGCAATGAGATGACAGATGGAAACATCCAATAACTTCGTTTGTGGCTGGATATAACACTGACTATATGAATCAGTTACTACTTGTTCAACTTCCGTGCATGATAGAGACCGCCATGGACGAAGAGTTGAGAGGATGGAATATTGAAGACATTTCCTCACTTCATTAATCCACTGTTGACCATGATTTGAAAAACTTTCGTTTAGTGAGTAAAGATTACAGAAAGCTGTATCAAATTCAAGTGCATATTCTATGTGGGTATCATTGCAACTGAATTGCCTTTTAAAGCAGTCTTTATACCATGAGCAATCTGTTCCTGACGGGATGTAACAACGAGATGGAAGTGATAGTTCAGAGTCGGTATATTCCTCTCCCGATGAACATGCACAATCATCATACACTGCACCAGATGATATACTGTAGACCTCTATCATACATTGGTAGTAGCAATAAGTGGCAGTGCTGTCTGAACAACTGAGTCTTCCTTTAGAGATTGTTTTGATATATTCATTCAAAAGACATGTACCCCATTGATATTTAGAATACGAGCTCGTACTTTCGTAACATTCCATTTTTCCATGCGGTCCTGTGTATATAGAACATATTCCACCAAACACATCTGGAAGAAAAATAACTATTACAGAAATCCCATACATAATTAAATAACGATGTATGTTAATACGAAACGATGACAGGCATCATTAGAAAAACTGAACGCGGAAGTTTATTCCTTGAATATAGTCGGAGGTATTAAACATTCAAACATAAAAGTTACATATTTAAATATTGCAAAGGGGTAAAGCATTCGAGTAGAACAAAATAGTCAATTGATTTAAAAAATATTTGGATGATTTGATAAATGTCTTAATATTTCAGGGTAACACAGTACCATTTTGATTATTTATCAGTTGAAAAGTAAAATAACACTTTTTGAATAAACTATGATTGACCTGAAATTTAAAACTCTGTTATTCTCGGGTTTTTTTTTTTTTTTTTTTTTTGTATTACGTACACAAAGACTTACAGCGTGACAATTGTATTATCCCACACCTGGTGTTCTCCAGATCGTCATCTAGGGTTGCAGATATATTGCCCCTATGTTTGTTTATGACAGTACCATGAATAACCGGAGCAAACTTAAAATGAGATTACATGTCAGATAATTTATATAAATTTTAATAAAAAAGGTCAATGCAATTCTGTTTTCTACCAGTTTTAAAAATAGTGTGAAACACCCAACAAATGTTAAATAATTATAGAGTTATATAAAAGAATTGAGTATAATTGTAAACAGTGCTGATTGTATTTAGCCAGGAATTTATATATCTAATGAAGGTACACAGTGAAATACTATTCGTTGTCTGTCTTTGTTTAAACGTCTTTTTTGAGTCCTGTGTTGGTGGTGGTTGTACTGTGGTCCGTTGTACTGTCTAATATTTTGGTCATGTCTTTTATCCTTTTTGTGTATCAGTATCTAATAGTATATAACTGTTTTGTGATAATTTCACATAACAACTTAATGGCATAAGTTAAAAATCCATGTTGAAAGAAGTCACTAATTAGATAGTTATATCAATGAACCACCCTGTTCGTTACTTTCTTTGTAAACTTTAATGTGGTTACATTATTAATATGCTGTGATGCGGTTTTATGCCAGACAAGTTTCAGAATATTGAAAAAGATTGTCTTTAAATTACTAAAGAAATACATATCTGAATACAAAAAAAAATCACCAAAGATACCTGCAGGCTTTTGATTTGTTAGCTGGATGCGCGTTTCGTCTACAAAAGACTCGTCAGTGATGACGAAGCAAAAAAGTTAATAAAAGACAAAATAAAGTACGAAGTTGAAGAGCAATGAGAACAAAAAAAATCGAAAGGTTTAACCAAATACAGCTAAGGTAATTTATTTCTGGGGTAGAAAATCCTGAAATACATGTCTATAGGATGTCAAAACAAATTATGGTTAATTTTTACTCTGATCATATACAGTAGTCTCACGGCAAGTTCTTAAACAATTTGGTATGTATATCTCATATTACTACAACACAAACCAATATGCATGTGACGATATAATACAACCCACTAATTTCTTTTGAATGTACATTCTTTATCTTTTCACAATGACTGTGTTAAAGGGATCTTTAAATAGTTTACGTAATGTGTAACCATTACCTTTATTATATACTCAGTGACAATTAAGCTGCATTCTTTCTTGTTACAATACTAATCACAGCATGCAACTTGAAGGAGTATAAAGAAAGATAATGAAGTTAGCTTTGCATTTTTGTTAGTAGGACCATAAATTGAATAATCAATGTTACCTTGTTAAACACAGATTGAATGAATAACAAACACTATTGTTATCACTAGCCAATTAAATAAATAATTGTTCGTGTTCTTGAGAAAATATATAATTTTGTAGGAAACATAACTTGCAGCTAACGCGTTTCTTTCTATGAAATAGTATACTATATTCATTACCTTTTTCATATTATGTTGTATAAAGTATTTTAACAATGATCTCCCGGTTTTAGAATAATATAAAAATGTGGAGATGTGGTATGATTGCCAATGAGACAACTATTCACCAGAGTTTAAAATGAAGTGGTAGTTTAATAGCAATTATAGGCCATTGTACCATACCGTATAGTCGGCCAATGCCACGTCATGAAAAATGTGAAACAATTCAAACGAAAACACATTAATCAAAGACAACCACTGTACTACAGACTTCTAACTTGGGACAGGCAAGTAAATAATTTGGCGGAGTTAAACATTTTTGTGAACGCTCCATCCTTCCCTAACCTGGGACAGTAGTGTAACAGCTAGCACAAAATAAGAACAACTGTAAAAATCAGTAGAAATTGGCTTGACTCAAAAGATTACGAGGCACAAAAACATAAAACATAAAAACAATCGACACAAAGCACCGAAATAAGAGTTCTCATAGTTATTGAAATCAAGTTCACAGCCAATTACAGATAATAGATAAATCATGTTCTCCAGGAATAAATTAACAATCATTACACATCCAACGGATTTAGTGTATTGGCGTCATAAATAGTCACAAAAAATCAGTTATCAGTGTTTAATTCAAAACTGTATAAAAGATCATGAATGCCTCTGCATATTGAAGTGCACCGGCATGTTTCAGCCGACTGATTCGAGATTGGAACATGCTTTCTTTCCTGGTTTTCTTTACATTAGAGATGGGTAACAATAAAACCGAAGCCAATACATTAGAAAGTCACAAAAAAAAAAAAAAAAACACGAAATGAAAAACGGTAATGATCGTATGAAATTCAAATGAAGTGAGGCTAGATGTCTCCATAAATAGATATACACATAGCTCAGTTTTATCAAAAAGTAAAAAGGGATATATGTTATTTTTCAAATTCTATCGTCTAGTAGTTATTATTTACAACAGTAATCCTTTTCAGATCCTAAAGAAATATGACACTTTTGCAGTTTCGGTACCTTAGATAATTTTTTTAAGACGGATCCTTTTTATTTTCATTTTTGAAGAAAACCATGACACAAAACACACTGAGAAGGCAATGCATGAAGATTGATGTCGATATAATAATTACTCGATAAACATAAGCAATCATCAAAGTTTTTAACACTGTACTTTACAAAAATTCAATGGTAGTTGCAATAATTGTATGTAGAATAACAGATAAATCTTTCCATATTCAATATGCTTACAGATTCAACCTTAGCAGGCATGTCAGTAACTGCAAGTAGTCCTTTGTTAATTTATGTATCATTGTCATTTTGCTTAGTTTCACGGTCACATAAACGCTTCCAGACCGACATGTACACCTTACAGTCATTCCATACACCACATTTAGTTGTATTATTGCATACAGTATCTGAAAAACAGACAAAACCAGGAAAACTGAATATTGACCAACGAACCATGAATATGAAGTCAAGGTCAGATGAAACCTGCCAGACGGACACACGTTACGTATTATATGACAAATAGACCTAATCAGAAGAAAATAACATTGACCAATGAATCATGAAAATAAGGTCAAGGTCAGATGAAACATGCCAGTAACACATGCACACGTTATTATCATCCAATACACCAAATATAGTTGACCAATTCGTTATAGTATCTGAAATACGGAGTTGACCTCGTAAACTTAACCTTGATCACTGATCCATGAAATGAGGTCGAGGTCAGGTTAACACTGTCTGACGGACGTGTAGAACTTGCAAGGAATATTTATATCAAAATATAGCTATATACTATTATTCATTATTAGTTAGAAATTCCTATTACAGTCACTGACGCATGAAAAAGAGGTCAAAGACAATGGAAAAATGACAGACGGAAACTTCGTCACATAAGGCATCTGCATACAAGGTATAAAACTTCCAGGTCTTCTACCTTCTGAAATATAAAGCTTTAAACTAATAGTTAACGCCGTCGCCTCCTGATTGTAATCCCTACCGCAGGCGAGACAAAAATAGAGTACAAACTTCACTAAAGATTTATGATGACAAATAAAACAGTTACGAAACGTCAATAATGTCACATTAAAAATAAACATCATTCCAAAGATAACACAGCATTTATAAAATTTAAAACTAGTACTAGATGAAATAATCAAAATGTGTAAAAATCAAATCTAAAATGATTTTTTTAAAGTGTGCATTGGTCAATGGGGTGGGGGTTTGCGAGGGGAACTGACCCTCTCCATATTCCTATGACTTTTTAAAGTTTCGTAAAATTTGGCTGGAACCTTCCCAGATTGAAGACCTTGAACACCTTCTTTGAAAATGTCAGGCCTCCTGGTGAGCACAATATCCTCATCTTGGTATACAGAGTTATCGACATTACCGTGAACACTAAGGTGAATAATCTTAACCAAGGCTGTCATTCGCGAAAAATTATCGTGAAATAATAAGTCACGGTGGTCAAATATTGCGATGAGATCGCGAAGGAAATCTGATCGAGAAGACAAATGTAAGGTCAGAAAAAAGAAACTGTCTGTCAAAATGGTTTAATGTTATGATCTGATCAGTATCTAAGAAAATCAGATTTGTAATATCACCGTTTTTACAATACCAAAAAAGGCAGATTGCTGTTCAATATTTCAATGACAAAAAAATGTAAACACACTTGTTTTTTTTTATTATAGAAATGAATAAATTACTATTCTCTGAAAGCGTCGTTCCAAATTGATGTTTTAATTGTCTTTCAAAATCATTTTGAAGTAGCTTAATCAGAAAGTAGGTCAAAATTGGAATATTTGTATACATTTGATATTTATGATCGTGAAAGATAGTTTATGATGTTTCAATGTCATTTGGTACATGTTTTTTTTTTAATAAAAACATGCCGACTAGTCCGTGGTGCCATAAAGCAATTGCTGTATGTTTGTTTTTTATGTCGTTATTAAAAGTCAAGAATGCCTAATCTAATATCAATATTGTTTATGAACAGCATTTATATTTATAAGAAGGGAAGATCCTTGTTGATGTTAACAGTTTTTTTTTAATTCAAAAAGGGGGGGGGGGGAGGGGGCATTTTTGTAAGAATGTCATTCTTTTTGGTTAAAAATTCACAACGTTTGAAAAGTATCTTTTTGTCTAGAATTTAATTGGAAGAATGATAAAAAAAAATCAAACTT